CCCGCCAAAGGTTACGTACACAACACACATAAAACTGAACTTCTTGCACCTACGCCCTCATACGTCCGTACACATCCATGATTACATCCCCACACACACACACACACACACACACACACACACACACACACACACACACACACACACACACACACAAACACACACATACACACACCTCGCACCCTCCTCCCCACACACACACCTCATCCACATACACACCCTCACACCCTCTCCCACACACCCACGAAACCTCTCTCCATACACACCCACGCACCCTCCCCCACACACACCCACGCACCCTCCCTTATACACATCCACCTACCCCTCCTTACACACCCACTCACTCTCCCCCACACACACCCACGCACTCTCCCCCACACACACCTACGCACCCTCTCCCCCCCACACACTCATACATACACCCACTCACACGTTGACTCCTGGGTGTTCTCCGGGTATTCTAAAGTTACCTAACCAGACGTAAACAATATTCTCTACCCAGAAAATCTCTCTGAGGCCACAAGGAACCTGACTCGTACATCTTACTGTAAAAATTGCAATTTATTTTCCTTGCTGGCTGCGTTCCTTCGTTCTTGTTTTACCTCGACCTATTTCTGCCGTGGGTTAATATGGGTTGTTTGTTACCTACATCTACTGTTATAGGTGGTGATGATGATGATGATGATGATGATGATGATGATGATGATGATGATGATGATGATGATTGATGATGATGATGATGATGATGATTGATGATAATGATTGATGATGATGATTGATGATAATAATTGATGATGATGATGATGATGATGATGATGATGATGATGATGATGATGATGATGATGATTGATGATAATGATTGATGATGATGATTGATCGATGATGATGATGATGATGATGATGATGATGATTGATGATGATTGATGATCATCTGTGATGATTGATGATGATGATGATGATGATTGATGATGATGATGATGATGATGATGATGATGATGATGATGATGATGATGATGATGATGATGATGATGATGATGATGATGATGATGATGATGATGATGATGATGATGATGATGATGATGATGATGATGATGATGATGATGATGATGATGATGATGATGATGATGATGATGATGATGATGATGATGATGATGATGATGATGATGATGATGATGATGATGATGATGATGATGATGATGATAATGATGATGATGATGATGATGATGATGATGATGATGATGATGATGATGATGATGATGATGATGATGATGATGATGATGATGATTGATGATAATGATTGATGATGATGATTGATGATAATAATTGATGATGATGATGATGATGATGATGATGATGATGATGATGATAAAAATAGGATAATAATAATGGCATTAATTCTGCTACTACTACTACTACTACTCTTTTTACTACTAATAATAATAATACATTTTTTTTTATAAAGTGGCCTCCAGCCTCCCCCAATAGCCATACCTTCGCCACCATTTTATTACCTTGAAATTAAATATCTTAATACATAAGTAGCTACCCTAGCTGTGTTGAGTTAGTTGAGCCGCAGATCTATGCAGCATTCAGTAACTGTTGCCTCATAGTCAATATCTGCAACTGTTGTCGGAGAAAGAAAGACAGTCGACATCTCATCCAGGCTGTTACATAACTTCTGGGCTGCTGCTTCTGTTTGGATAGCACTTCCGTGAGTCTGGCGTAGAAGTATCTTGCACTTGGTCCCATCCCACCAGAGGTTGTGAACACCAGAGGAGTGAAGCTGCCTTGATCAAAGTTCTAAATTCTCTCCCCGTATGCCCTTATCTTGTCGTTCTCGTTCCTCCTATGTGCATCATCGAGAGCTACGTTACAGTGACATGCGGCCATGGGATAAAAAATCCTGATGTCGAGGAAGGCTCGCTGTCCCCGCGTCCAGAATCCTCGAGCACTGACGTCAACACGGGCTTCGTTGGATGTGTTTGAATCCTCGAACAGGACAGAATTTGGTGGGATATAGTCACCCTGAAACCTGATGCCTTCCTCTTCACTTGCAGGGAGATGTTGCTCCTTCAGTTGTTTTCATGTCTCTCTGTTTATTGGCAGAACACCACCGGTGGATTCCTCTGTGAGAGATCTTACCGCCAAAGACACTTTTCCCACACGCATTTTGCTTCCAAACTTTCTTGCAACGCCATCGGTGTTTTGCTTTCCGTCTCCTATAAATTTTAGATCATCAAGGGCCCCATTCTGCCACCTTGTCAATCTTCTCTTCATTGCTGCCACATTTTCTTTGTGCTTAGTCCTTGTGTGTGTGTGTCCTCTGACAGAATAGATGAGGTATTATTGCCAGTATTTGAAGAGCTAAAGGGGCAAGCAAGTTGTCCTGAGTGTACTCAGTTATGAGGCGAGTCATTTCCCGAATCATTTCTTTGGGGCCGCACACTTGGGTGGTTCGAACAGGTTAGCTGGCGACCACCTGATAATTTCTGAGTAAGTTTCTTGAACCCATATGTCCGCATTTTCCATCGACATGCCATTCCACTGTGGTGGCTGTCTGCCATTCACCTAGTGGACATCTGCTACTGTTGGAGCAGCGTTTATTGGTAGTACATTTTCAGGTTGAGTAGACTCACTGTTATCATTTAGGATATCATCGGGCGGTTGGGTCCCGGTGATATCCACTGTGGCCTCCTGCGTCGGATCCCTGCCATGTGGGTTCCGACAATCGTTTCCCTTTCTGCAAACCACATATGGTCGGTTGTTTCTCACACAATCACAGCAGGAGCAATTTTGGTTCTGGCTAGCACAGACGCAACAATGTCTGTTACCCGGCATAGTGTTCCGTACTTCGGGCGACAGTTACGTCCGCCTCCGACATCTGCTTTGGTCCCATACAGAAGAAGAAACTAGTTCTTATGAGGAAAGGGCGGAGAGGTGACAGGCTGGACTGCTGTGTCCGGGTAGTAGGGGCATACGTGCGCTCGTGGGTGTGTAGGCCACCCCCCTGTGGGCGACAATTCACACATCGGAGTGATACACTGGGAGCAAGGATTGTCAAACCTAACACTTGTTTATATATCCTTGATAGAAATAACCACTATTTCTATGGTCGCGCTAAAGTAAGATTAGTTATATACTCACTTGGTCGGCTGTCACTAGATGAAGTGACCGTTACTTGTGGGAGGCGACCGCAAGCGTAGAACACTTGTCCCCACAGGGGAGTGAGTCTCGATGCCACCCCTGCCAAAGTAGGCCTATCGACACTGGCACTGGCACCTGGCACCTGCACCCGCCGTCCCACCAAGCACTCACAACTCGCTTGGTGATCGCCGGTGAACACAGGGAATATTTGCGATTAATGCCGTAAGGGATGAGAAGAACCTTCGGTGACAATGCTTAGAGTGACAGCCGATATTCTTCGACACTCTGTGAAATTCCCGCTCCCACACTCCGAATATGTCCCCTTCAATAACACTTTAGATCAGGAAGGACACTCCACCACACCCACGCCCCGCTGGCCGCCCACTACTACTAGTAATGACTACTACTACTAGATTAAAATCCACATACATTTTTTTTTCTTATGCTCTCTCTCTCTCTCTCTCTCTCTCTCTCTCTCTCTCTCTCTCTCTCTCTCTTGCCTTCATTTACAAGCTCGGTACATCATATTTTTCCATCTCTTTACTGTTTCACCGGAATTTATATACCGTGAGTTACCCTAACTACTGTTGACAGAGGTAAACAAACTATATTGATCACTGGCAACTCACTCACATTGTTTTTACGACGAGTCTTGTTATTTTTAATGACTTTTGTTATGAATCAATAAAAAAAAATATGACCCGTAAACCCTTTTTCTTATTTTTGTTTACTATTTGCAGTTATTATTGAATGTTTCTGTTTATTTATTTATTGTTTATGACTAACGCTGTTGATGGTTTAGTTATTATTATTATTATTATTAGTAGTAGTAGTAGTAGTAACATTATTAGTAACATTATTATCACAAACATCATTATTACATTTCAGTTGTACACCAATTTCCCTTTCTGATTTTTGGAAGGCTTTAAAATTATTGACATATTCCTTTTCATGACAACCCATTAAAAAATATTTCCACTGAGCTACTGTTTAAATACATGGCGTGTTTGTGCCCTTTAAACCAAGCTTATTTATCATTAATGGCCACCAGCTGATTCACACTTCAGTGACGTAATCAGTATGGTTTTTAATTACTTACAATTTGCATTAATTACAAATACTCTGTACAATGTATATTCTATGAAATGATGGCAGTACTGCGAAGATTAATTCACTATTGATATAGTAGCTCTGACGAAAAGCTACGGAGAGAGAGAGAGAGAGAGAGAGAGAGAGAGAGAGAGAGATGGGAAACAATTAGAGAGGATGGGAGGGAAAGAGAAAAAATTAAGAAGTTAGGAGGGAGTGAAAACAGAGCAACAGACAGACAAACAGAGACAGACACATACATAGACAGACAGACAGACAGAGACAGACACATACATAGACAGACAGACAGACAGAGCATCAGTGGTGTAAAACATTAATTCACAATTAGTGAGACACAACACACAGTACCCAGTAATGACATAAGTTCCCCGAAACGCCATAAGACTGCAGTAATTCATTGCCTATCTGAACCACTCGCTGCTGCCTCTACCAGGAATTCCTCGCAGTAAACCTGAACACACACACGCACACACACACACCCACACACACATACACTCACACACACACGCGCACACTTGTACTCGCTTGTATAGTAATGAATAACGTATTTTTGTTTTGTTTCCTTACGTGCCGAGAAAAAGTGAATTGTGTAACTAGTTTTAAGTTTTAAACCTGTATCGTGTTATCACCAATATGACACACACAGATACATTCCACCCTGGTTTGAATTCCCTGCCTAACATGACACAGTAACTCCCGGGCTCCTCCCCGCTCCAGTGTATAAAAACCAGCACCCCCGAGTCCTGGCAGTTCAGTGCACGTGTGTCAGCCGAGAGAGGTGGATGTGCCGGTCCTTCTCCGACCGCTCACATGTCCCACGTTTAAGTGTACCATATAACGTATAGAACCATACACTAGAACCTCTTGTAAAAACTCCGAACAAAACACCCACGTGATAATCTTCCATCAGTGGTAGTAACAGCACTGCACTCGACGTGCCCTCCTCTGCATTACTGGAAAATATCTTTGCCCGATGATTTTAAAGACGAAACGAAATACAGACCGTCCTAGAACTGGATATTCTAGTCCTCCTAACCATGGTGGGGGATAAGAACCAGTGTCTACGTCCCCAGTGAAATAAACATCTTCAGTGAGAGACAGAGAAAGAGAGATACTTTCGCCCCTGCAGCAGTAGCTCCTGACGAAGGGTTGAGGTGGTGGCCTTCCCTCGCACAGGAGGATGGGTTGGCAGGCGTGGTGGTGGTGGTGTGGTGGAGGGGGGGTGTCTGGTGGCGCCCAGCTGGTCCTGCTTGTTCAAGTTATCCTCGCCTGGGTCGATATCACGGCAGGTGAGTACGTTGCTGCCCCGCCCGCGTCCAGGTGTCATGACGCACATGTGACGCCTCATGATAGATATGGGGTCTCATGACAGGTGTAGGTGCTCATGACAGCATGCCGCCCTCAAGTTGCACGTTTGGAATATCATGGCAGTTGTAGGAGCCTCATGATCAGTAGCTCACCACCCTCATGAAGTACGTAGTGCCTCATGGCAGGTGTAGGGCACATGAGAGGTAACATACTGCTCTCATGGCGTACGTGTGGCATCCCATGACAGGTAGTACCTCGCCCTCCTGACGCACGTGTGGTGCCTTATGACTGATATGTGAGCCTCATGAAATATGCGGTGACTCATGACAAAAGGCATGCTGCATCATGATGCACATGTGGTGTCTCATGATAGGCAAGGAGGTTTTAAGACAGGTGAAGGGTCTTATGACAGGTGAGGGGTCTTATGAAAGGTGAGGGGTTTTTGAAGATCGTGGCGAGTATTAAGATATATGAGAGCTGCTTTATGTTATGGATGACCACAGAACAAGATGAAACACCTCATGTCAGGTTATAGCCTTTATCACAAGTGTACAAGAAAACCTCATTATTGGTTTGGTAGAATTTACAACAGATGTAGATTCCTAACAGGTCATGGCAGATGTGGATCCATGACAGATGTAGTGTCATGGCAGATGTGGGGTCATGACAGATGTGGGGTCATGGCAAATGTGGAGTCATGACAGATGTAGTGTCATGACAGATGTGGGTTCATGACAGATGTGGGGTCATGGTAGATGTGGAGTCATGACAGATGTGGGGTCATGACAGATTTGGGATCATGACACAAGTGGTGTCATGGCAGATGTGGGTTCATGACAGATGTGGGGTCATGACTGGTCTGGGTTCATGACAGATGTGGGGTAATGACAGATGTGGGATCATGGCAGATGTGGGCTAATGGCAAATGTGGAGTCATGTTAAATGTGGGGTCATGGCAGATGTGGGTCATGACAGATGTAGTGCCATGGCAGGTGTAGTGCCATGGCAGATGTGGGGTCATGACAGAAGTGGGGTCATGGCATATGTGGGGTCATAACATGAGGGGGTCATGACAGATGGGGCGTCATGACATGTGGGGTCATGGTAAATATGGGGTCATGGCAGATGGGGTCATGACAGATGTGATGTGGGGTCATGACACATGGCAGATGTGAGAGTCATGACAGATGTGAGGTCATGACATGTGGGGGTCATGACAGATGTGGGGTCATAACATGTGGGGTCATGACAAATGTGGGGTCATGGCAGATGTAGTGCCATGGCTGATGTGGGGTCATGACAGATGGGATCATGGCAGATGTGGGATCATGGCAGATGCGCGGTCATGACAGATGCGGTTTCATGACAGATGTGGGGTCATGACAGATGTGGATCATGGCAGATGTGGGATTATGGCAGTTGTCGGGTCATGACAGATGTTGTGTCATGACAAGTGGGGTCATGGCAGCTGTAATGCCATGGCAGATGTGGGGTCCTGACAGATGTGAGATCATAGCAGATGTGGAGTCATGGCAGATGTGGGGTCATAACATGTAGGGGGTCATGACAGATATGGGGTCATGACAGATGTGGGGTCATGGCAGATGTGGGGTCATGGCTGATGTAATGCCATGGCAGATGTGGGGTCATGACCGATGTGGGGTCATGGCAGATGTAATGCCATGGCAGATGTGGGGTCATGGCAGATGTGGGGTCATAACAGAGGTGGGGTCATGACAGTAATAGTATGACCACGACACCTCACTTGAACAATGTGTCCTCATTAATAATTAATTTGTGTTTATACATATTCATGGTTATGGTAATATTGGACACACACACACACGCGCATACATACATACATACATACATACATACATACATACATACATACATACATACATACATACATACATGCACACAACTCGGGTTTTTGCCAAACGGGAAATATTTTTACCATGTTTTAATTGGTATAATTCAATCGGATTTAATTTATATACGGTAAAACATATTATTTATCATTGTAGAGGTCGCTTATCATCATACTCTAACCAAGGTATACGTCAATTAGGTTAGGTTAGTTTGTTTATTGTATTTATTTATTTATATATATATATATATATATATATATATATATATATATATATATATATATATATATATATATATATATATATATATATATATATATATATATATATTTTTTTTTTTTTTTTACGGCATTAACCCACCCGGGCACAGGTCACTGACCCACATCAAGGCCTGGGGGGAGGGGGGGGGTGGTGAATATACCCAGGGTGTCCATAAATGACTACCCTAAAAATAGTATGCTAGCAGGCTTTAATCAGGGCAATCATTTATGGGCATCATGAATAATAATAATAATAATAATAATAATAATAATAATAATAATAATAATAATAATAATAATAATAATAATAATAATAACTAAATAAGAAAATGAAAACCTAAATTAAGAGTGAGAAACGATATACAGTATTTATGTTGTGTTGTCAAAGAAAAATAAAAAATTGAGACCCTGCAACTGTGTGTAAATGAGGCAGAAAATCAGTTCAGCAACCTGGGACTTGGTCACAATTTTTGTGATGCCATATGGCAGCAGGGTCTACCATAAGACAACACATTATGCTTCCAATATCTTCCCAGGCGGTAGTACCTCCCCGTTTGGTAGCTGCTTACTACATACTACCTATGGTAAGCGAAGTTATTAATGATGTTATTCCTTTATAGTATGTGTGTGTGTGTGTGTGTGTGTGTGTGTGTGTGTGTTTATTTAGACCCTTTAAATTCCTTGGTCGGTCATTAAATCTCCCTGAAAATCTATGGTCCTTTATAATCTTCTAAAAATTCGAACACAATTAATCTAAAAAAAAAAAATCCTACTCATTAAATTTACCTTTAAAATTAAGGCGTCCCTGAGCCCCCTTTTGAAATCGCCTATCAAATTCTACCTCCTTTAAATCTTCCTTAAGTTCTTAACCCCTTTAAATTCCTTAAGACCTTATAATATTATAATCCCATGATGATATCAGCCCCTAAATTGGGATATCCTCAAAAACAGTAGTAATTTACAGTAAATCCTTAAAAATCACCATTAAAATTTAAGCATTTTAAATCCATTAAAATTATTGCCCAATAAATTAAATATTCCCTTATATCACCCTTAAAATAGCATCCCATTAAATCAGCCTTATAATCCTAACTCCTTTAAATCATCCTTAAAATCCTTTCCCTTTAAATCGTTCTTAAAATTCTAGCTCACAGAAATCCCCTTGAAAATCTTACACCCCTGTAAGTCTCCCTTAAAATCCTAACACCTTTTAAATCACTTTTAAAAATCTACACCCTTTAAATCCCTCTTTAAATCTTACCATTTTTAAATCCCCTTAAATTCTTACCCCGTTAAACATCCCTTAAAATATTAACCTTAATATTCCCTTGAAATTCTTAACCCCTTTAATTCCACATTAAAAATCTTAACCTCTTTCAATTCACCTTAAAAAGCCTAACCCTCTTAACTCTCCCTTAAAATCCTACCGTCCCTTAAAATATTACACTCATTAAAAATTTACCATCCCTTAAATCTTCTTTAAAATCCTACCCACCCTTAAAATATTGCCCTACATAAAAAATCACCATACCTTAATTCTCCCTTAAAATCCAACGCCTTTTAAATCCCTTGTAATTCTACTCACTCGCCCCCTTTCCCTTGGCTAACGAGAGGTAAGCTGGTAACTGTGTACTAATATATCACGCGCCACTGAAACATTGGTAGCGTCAATTATGCTGACCTTGGTAGCTGACCATGAGCTGCGTGTGGCTAATGGGAGAAAGAGTGAGGTGGGGTGGAAGGGGAGAAAGAGAGGGGGGGGATGAGTACGGGAAAGAGAGGGAAATGAGGAAAAGAAAGAGAGAGGGAAGAGGGAAACAAGGGGAAAAGACGGAGGGAGAGAGAGAAAAGGAGGAATAGGGGGTTGAGTGAGGGGGGGAAAAGAAGAGTGGAAAGGGGCCGAGAGAGAGAGAAAGTGAGCGCAAGGGAGATGGAAGAGAGGGAGGTGTGAGAGAAACTGGGAGAGGGGGCAGTAGTGAGGAAACACAAGAATGAGAGAAGGAAATGTTAATGGAGAAAAAGGAAAAGAACGACGTGGGGAAAGTGGGCAGAAGAAGGGGAAAAGAGAAAAAGGAGGGGATAAGGTAAGAGGGAAGAGCGGGGTAGAAGGAAGAGGGAAGGAGTAAGAAGAAGAGGGAAGGAGAAAGAGGTGAGGGGGAAAGGTGGAGGAAATATTTTGCGAAAGGAGAGAGAGAGAGAGAGAGAGAGAGTGTGTGTGTGTGTGTGTGTGCAGCAATGAGCATTAAGGTATGGCTGAGTGAGGGTGTGAGAAAGTGTTCATGATCACGACTGCTCAGACCTATCTTCTGTACATAAGGTTTCATCCAATATATACTCGTCGAATGCATACAGGAGAAATCTTTTATTTATTCCATGTATTTCATATTTCATATTCCTCTCGAAATACTACATTTTCACTCCTGCGTTTGCTGTTCCTCTCAGTAAAGTGCATTTTTGCAAAAATTTGGCAATCGCCGGCAAGAGATTTCGAAAACATTTCAACTTCCATAAATCTTGGAACATTTTCACGAACGACGGAGGAAATCCGAGACAAACGTAAACATTGTAATCGACTAACAATCTAAGACGCATTAATTCAATTCACCTATGAAACAAGCCAAACAATCCAGTTATCCAGTTATTTAATTGTCATTACACGGCTTTAAAATATGCTATATTTGTGATACATAACAATAATCATTACACAACAAATATTGATAATAACAAAAGGATTCTCATTTGGCTACGTCGGATCAGCGAGGGAGAATAGGCATTTGCTCGGTGTTGTTATTTCCCGATCTGGCCAAGAGGGGGATCTCAGGTAGGATTGTAAAAGGATTAGATTCTCTC